ATTGGTTCCCTTCGTTCACACCGGTCCCCACCGGAGTGGTGCCACTTCCTTGACCCGCACGACGCCGGACTCCTCGAAACCCTCTGAGTTCGGACGGGGGCTCCGTGGGCGTATGCGACTGGCCAGCTGAATGTGTGGATGGAGCACACCCGGTCTTCAAAAAGACTGACACATGGATGAAATCGGACATGTTGCTTTGTAACATCATGGTGGGCTGGGAATGTTTTTTTTGAACCAGATCACGGATCCTTAGACTCACTCAGACATATCAATTCCATCATCTCTCCGGACGCTGTGTGTGCTTCGCTAGACTCATCTCTGCATCCGAGGTGTGCCGATCCATTCCAGTGCACTCGAGGTGAAGTGCTCCAGCGTGGGGGGACCGATTGCATCGTGCACGACGAGCAGACGGTGACGGTGAAGGGATCATGACCGGTAGAGTGAAGAATCAGTTGAACTAATTAAACAATGCAATATTAACTACTGTATATATTAGAGATTTAAAGATATTCATTGTTTAGTTGCATTTTTGAGGGGCATTAATTAACCTGCCTTTGATCTAAAACACATTTCGGTGGGCGGACTGATGTGAGCTTGCTGTCGAAATGGCGAGGATGCAGAGATGGGAGGATGGAGTAGACAGATGACAGTGACTCCCCCGCCCCGCCATCTTTACATCTCCAGGCTTGGTGGTTTTCATCCATCAGGGACCCCCCCTGTCTTCAGAATGGTTTTACATCTCCAGGCGCGGCTTGGGGGGTGGATCAAATTTTTTGAAAACCCTACATACACTACAATTACTGAGTATCTCTCTCTATCTATATATAGGTAAACACTGCATACTGCTCAAAATGCAGAAGCAGCTGGGATGGCCATTCAAATCTGCAAGCCTGGGACTCTGGGATTTCTAAGGGCAATGAGTCAGCATCGTTGAAAGGCAGTTTAGCACCGCAGGCCTGGAGATGCGAGCGACTCCAGGAAGACTAAGAAGACTGTGGATTATAGCGTAGTGGAATTCATGGGCCCCTTAGAGATGGAACTTCACAGGAGGTCGGCTAAGTAGGCGATTTTGAGGCGCTTTTTACGGGTCGGCTGCTGCTGTCGGCATTTCTTGGTTTTCCATGTTTACATGCCTGGCCTCCAGTCGACTGGCCTCGCCGACGGCGGGCACGTCTATTGGCCAGCAGTTGATGTCAGCTGGGAGTAACCTCATGCGCTTTCGGACTTGCATGGGTGATGAACACCTTTGTGCTTGGAGTGCGAATCGCTGCTTGAACGGGCTATGCTAGAAGCTGCTAGAAGCATAGACTTGTTGGAGCTTAGATGGTTCAACCAAAGCCGCAGTCACTCAATGCTCTCCAATCCTATGCACCTGTTTGCTGGGGAACCTTCTTAGATGAGTTGTAGATGCTTATTTAGGATAAACATGTTTCAGGCTCATTGGCTTATCCTGATGATACGTGGATGGGACGGACGCGGCTGGCAGCCCCCAATCATTCCTACACGCCCGGATCTCTTAGTTCGAGCGCTCAGGTTCCCATTTTCAAAGGTGGTTTGGGTCAAGACAGCGTGAGGCGAGCGCAGTTCTTGGGCTTCCGGCGTTGGACGTTGGGCCTGGGGCTTTCACTAAGCAGATTTGCACATGTCATGGTCTGAATTTGAAAAAGACTTACGCAATCGAAGTCACACATGCCACACGCACACCATACAGACACACCTACACACCTGACACCACTGGGTGGCCATGCTTGCTTGGCAGATGGCATCGGACCGCCGTGATGGGTGAACTCATCGCCGACACGTCGACGAAGCAACTGCTTCAAAGCTGCTACCATCCGCCGTTTCACGGTGGTGGGACAAGACCAACGCTTTGCGGAGGGACAAGACCACATGAGACCACCTGGAGCTCATTCAACGACTGCCTCGGAACCTGAACACCACCTTGGGTTCTAGGAGGAAATGCCCTTCCACGGATCAATTCTTAGGGTGCATGTTAAACTAGTTCGCGGGGGTATGGTTTTGTTTGACGCGAGCAGGGCCTTCTTAGCCAGAACTGCCAGGCTAGAGGCGCTCGGACGCCCAGGATGGGCAGAGTCAGAGGGCACGTCAGCCACCTGTTCACCCCGACCCGAGTCTTTGGAGTCGACCGGAGTCGTTCCATCCAGCCGCTCCAGCGGGAGTCTGGACTGGCGTCCAACAGTCTTCGGGAATGGAGCAAAGAGGAGTTGCAATCAGGTGTGGTCCATCCCAACAGTATGCCGTATAGAATCGTATAGATCATATCTATACTCAAGAGTTCATTTTGGGGGGTTGTCCTGCAAGTGCTTGGTCCAAAGGAGTGAAGTTTACCGCCTTTGGAGGCCAAGAGGGAACAAAGACAGGACAAGCAGCTGGATGGATGGTTATTTGATGTTATTTGACTCATGACTCATGAATCACGGTGTAGTTTGTGACATCTCATGACTCATTATTTGAGGCATCTTGTTCGAGCCCGCTTCTTCTCACTATACTGCTCCTTTGGGTTACGATCGACCGAATGCACGTATTGGACCAGATACACGGCCTCACAACAATCTATGGAATATCTAAATTATGTACCACAACACTATTACACTATTATAAGCTATATGCTACACACTCCCCGACATAATCATGGAAGCGGAAACCCGCTTGGTTGCCCTTCCCGGAAGCAGGGTCCTCCTTGTCTCGGGGCGAGCTGCGTTCTCCACGTCACCACGCGAAATTCCGACGTGCTGATGCCGAGTTCGTAAAAGCCAAGATGAAAACCACATCACACAATACTACATATACTATATACTACAACTTTAAGTGTGCCAGCACCCACCGTTTCCTCGGTGTCTATGTCCATAGCTTCGGTAAGACGAGGTGATGACCGGTCCCAAAAGCACCTTTTTTCGACCGAACTTGGTTTCGGTCCGGGTGCGTGTGTAATGGGATTAGGGGTGCCCCTGTCACATCCACTCACTGGATGGGACGAGCCACACCACCCCGAGCTCTGTGACTCCTGGGATGCATCTCAGATGATCCATCTCGACCCGAGACATGGGTCTCGACCCAAGGCCCACGCCGCCACCGAACCGGACCTGCGTGGCTTGGGCGATCGTGGGTCGTGGGTCGTGGTGGAAGGGCCGTTCAGACCGGGAGCGCTTCAAGTCGTTGGGAGCTGTGCCAATTGGCTTTGGCCTGGTGGGGGAGTTCCGCCAGACCCTGTGGGTGGTTCCGCCAGACCCTTTGGCTCAAGCATGCTGAGAAGGGAGGAGGATCAGGTCGAATGGCTAGTAAAACCCTAATGAGCCTTCCAAGACTATTTCTAATAAGTGGTTGAGCTGGTTTCGCAGTGGTATGCAAACCGATGTCAAACAAAAAAGGTGGTTCGGTAAAGACGGTAAAGACTTAGAATTACGGTATATAAATCAATGGTGGTCCAGAAATTCTAGGGAACTGTTAGGCATTGACATTTGTTCAATCAAATCGTGGGCATGATGCTCTTGTTCCTCACGCGACAGGAATTGAAGTCAGGGCCCCTCCAGCCGCTGACTCATGGATCTAGGTTGAGTGGTTATGTTTAGCTAGCTCAGATGTTGCAAACCGATAAGCCTCTGAGAGGATCGATTCTTTGGATGTTGCTACGGTGTTGGGGCCCGATGCCTTCAGCGTGGAAAAACTGCGTCCCTGCAGTGAACTGGGGATGGTGGAATTGAATGACATGTCCATACATGTCGACTGCAGCTGAGGCACGAGTCACCAGCCGTTGGCCAGCCCACCAAGAACAGGGAGTTGCAGGGAGGCCCAGCATCAAACCGGCAAGCCCAGTCCAAGGCACGGTGGCGACAGCTCGAGCCGAGCCCTGACGAGCCCCGCGGCTCGTCCATTTGCTAAGCTGGCTCGACGTCACGTCTGACATACTCTGACATACTCTGACTTAAGTCATGGGTGGAGTGGTCCAACTTGGCATGGACTACGGTTCGAAATGCCAAAGGACTTTTTACATGCTGACTGACAGTATAGTCTTAAGTCTGAACCCATGAACCCAGCCCACTCAATGTACCTATACAATATACCTACCATACATGTCAGTTTCCAGAGGCTTACATCCAAGCGCGTGTGTTGTCGAATCGACCTTTTCTAGCCCCTGGTTTCCAACCACTGGTTGTGGCTCAAAGAATCTTCAGAATCATCATGAACTTAGCTGACGAGACATCACTCACGTGCTGGCCTGTCACAAGCGCGTTCATCACTTCGTACAATCTTTTTTTCAAGGTAGGGGAGCTTTCCTTTCTTGCATCATGAATCATCCAATTTACCAGCACCCTCCAAGGGGTTTCCAATTTCAGATCCCTAAGTAGTGTAGGGTAGTCCATTTGGACAGGAGTCCAGGTATATGTCCGTCTGAATGTCACTATCAAGACATTTTGTTGGATCCTTTTTCATCACCGAACTCAGGAACCCTGGCACCCAGGTACCGGACATCGCCGACATCGACCCTCGGTTTCGTCGGAACGGACGCTCAGCACACCAGACGCTTCAGCGACGTGCCGACGCTTCAGCGACGCTCAGGCGCCAGATTTGAAATATGTCGGGAGCCGAGTATATGTCAACGAGTACCATTTCCGAGTCGTTGAAGGCCTATCAGCTAGTGGTTCCGTCCTTTCAACGGACGATGGGCACCCCACGGGGACCACCGAGGTGATCTTGCACTTTGACCGCTGCGTCCGAGCGACGAATGAGACTCAGTGGGGGAACCCAGTGGGGAAACGGTTTTCTGCGAATCCACCGAGCAGCTTGCCGCTGATGTGGAGGAGGCAGCAACTGAGTAGTAATTAGATGTAATTAGCTCAGTGGTTCTAGAGCGCTCTACTCTACTGTAGTGGAATCCCCACTATCCATCACTATCCCTGCTTCTTCCTTGCCACCATTTGCTGTGCATGTAACAAACTTCAAACATTTCTATGGACCGCGGTGTTTGGCGCCGGTTCGCTCCAGCTCGTGGGTCGTAGGTCGTGAGTCTGAGCGGTGAGTCTGAGCAATGTCGTTCAGTCAAGCGATTTCGATGGAGACGGAGTGCGAGAAATGGCAGGCTGGAGAAACGCAACGAAGGAAGATAAGTTTACATTGAACACATTCTGTGCTTGATTTGTCTCTCTGTGTGTGTGTTTCCCGTTGTTTACGTGTTTTTTTCCTAGTATCCACTTTGCAGTTTTTCTATTTGTTTTTCGGTTGCTTTTGGCCTTTGGCTGTTGGCCTTTGGCTGTTGACAGCACTGTCACAGATGCTGAGGCGCAAGCCAGCAAGGAGACCAATGAAAAGCCTGAGCTGAAGAATGCAGGAAGGGATTCAGAGTTCTATGATGATACATTTGATCCTACCACTCCTGAGCATCTTTGGCCTGACACTGATGAGGAGTACGCGGACCTTCCAACCTATGCCAATGTACCCAGCTTTGGTAACTCCTGGTTGATTGGCTTCGAAGCTGTTTCAGAGCCCTGTACGCCATGGGCTGCGGGCCCGTGGTTCAACTCCACGGCCAACACCAACCCCGAAACGAAGTGGGTGGTGGATTCGGCGGATGAAGCATGCCAGGGTCTTTCGGACTTTCGTCACCGCACTGAAACAGTGCGCAAGGTGGTCGAGCTGAACAAGTGCATCAGCATGGACTACCAGTGCCAGGATGAGGAAGCGATCCTGGATGAGGCGACCCTTCCCGGATCAGTGCAGAGTGGATCGGTTCCTCCGGCAGACCTGTCAAAGAGAATGAAGAAGGCGATCCTCACAGGGTCCAAGGCATTGCAAAAGGCTCGCGCTTTGATGGGCACCATGTCACACTCCTCCAGGTCAAGATCACGAAGAGGCGAACAGGTCGAAACCCGCGCGCTGTGAGACGTGCCGGACGGAGATGAGTGTGTCTGAAAATCGGGCTCACTCGACGATCACGGACCCTTTGCAAAAGGACCGGTGAATTTTCAGAAAACAAACCCATTGGTGTGGATTCAAATAGGGATACCTCACAGTTCGACCACCTCAACAAAAAGGGACATAGACCATTGGGTGGGGGTCTCCCTATTAAAAGACACACCCGGTGTTTCGATGCTTGGGTGTCCAGGGCACCCGCCGCTGTGGCTGTGGATTTGATTGGGTTGTTGGGGCGCCCCAACTGCTTGAGTGAGTTGGGTGTGGTTGGCAGGATCCAGTTTTTCACCGCACGAGGACCCTTGGCCGCGTTTCGGGCGAAGACATCCACAGCACCGGCGGTGACATCATGTAGCGACGGAGTCTGAATTCAAGTGCTTAACGTCGGAGCTGACTTTTGGGGATACTCACAGCGCACAACGCATTAGTCCAGCCGCAGCCTGTTCGGACCAGTCCAGCCAGTTCCGACGGTGGAGGGGTTCACTGACCAAAGGCCAAAGGGGTGTGGGTGTGATTCCAACAGCCATGGTCCTGCCGTCCTTGCAAAACACACATAGTGGTTTTAAGGATTTTAGTCTACAAAGTCAGGTCAATCATCCTTTTATGTGTCTCTGAAGTTTGGGAGGGCAATATATACCATGCGGGTCCTTTCTCACTGTTGGTTTCATCCACTCAAACTGCTCTACGCATAGCCGCAGCCAGGGCACATGCTCCTTTGCAACACCTATTGTTGGTTGATGGGTAAGTTTGGCTGGAACTCTTAACATATGGAGGACAACCCAGCTGTAATAAACGCAGAGTAAGCTTCATGATCCAATGTGTGATGGACAGCCACAAATTCGGCAGTTCCTGTATATTACTCCCGAATACTCCCCCCACAGACTAGCAGCAGCTACCACTTACTGCACCGTTGGCGAAGCCTACCATTTATATAAATCCACCCGCCAAGAAAACCTGACACCTGGCAGTGTTGAGAAGCCTGAAGCGAACGGACTCTTTTCATTTCTCCGTGACCATGACACACACACATATACACATACTGCTACTCATCGCCATTTGGGCAGCAGAAGTTGTCTTGGAAAGTAAGCCGGGAAAATAATACGCTTGTCCCCGCATCCAGTGAATCGCACACCGATACCATCGGATACCCGGTAGACTCCGTGAAGCACTTGTTCGCGGCAATGACGACTGCATAGCCAAGCGGACTTTTTATTGAAAAAGCCGTTTGGAAAAGGGAAACTGGCCAGCACGGATTTTTGCCGTGAGAGCATAAAATGCTTCAGTGCCGATCCAAGTGAGCAAGCTCTTCACGCAGAAGGCTTTGAACTTCTGCATGTGGCTGTTAAAGTGAAAGCTAGTATAAGCCATAAGCTAGTCCTACTAGTTGCCAATGTGTGGCCAATGTTGCATCTCTGAATAGCCAGTCCTGTTTCTCCACATTGAAAAGCTTGTGCCTTGGGCCGTGCATGGTCAGCCCTTCAATGAGATTGCATGCGCAAAAGAGGTATGGGAGTCGTAGAATGATGAGACACTGCAAGCCAGAAAGTCATAGGTGTGGACATTGACCTTAATGAAGCATTTGATCAATTTTGATCATATTCTATCATCATTTGAAGGGAACCCATGATGTCAGTGGAACTCGTCTACATATCAACACCAGGGCTTGCTGTCCATCTTCGACTGAAGTGGCTGGCTCACTTCTGCTCACCTCAGCTGACTCAGATGATGGCTGCAGACGGATGATACCGTATGATTCGTTTGATGATATAAATTAGATCAAATTGGTCATGCACACTGGGCTGTGACACAGGGCCACCTGAACAATCCGCATTCCAAAGATGTTTCTCATGTGCGTCGCTGAGCACACAACTGCTTGCAGCTAGACTGATGAGAGTTCTTTCTTTCCAGAAGCCCGTTGGCCAAAGTTTGCACTGGTGCTTCTGTCGATTGCTCGAGGCGTTGACGAGGTACTGTGAAAAGCGGTCTCACCACAGGGGCGAGTTCACCATGGGGGGGCGAGTCGGGTGAGTTCACCATCCATCACACACTCCAGCGTAGGCTCGGTCGGTCCATGTTCTCTCACTCAGGTTAGTGTTAGCCATCAGCCCGGCGCGAAGCCCCAGTCGGTCGAAATCGGTGGTCGGCTCTTCTTCACACGGGTGGTGACACGGGGGGGGGGCCTCGTTACGGCAGGGCTGCAGCCACTTCTGTGGAGGGTCGGTCTGTGTCGGTGATACAGTGATACTCGTTACGCTAAGCTGCAGACCAGACCGGGATTGAACACATTTGCCGTCCGGATGTGCTTGGAGTGCCCGCCTTGGCTTATAAGAGAAGTCAGTGGGAACTACAAGGCTTTGGATGCACCAGTTTGAAAAAGGGGCCCAGCGCATAGTATCAATGAACAATCACCTGCAAATCAATATATATATATATATTTAAGAGATAGATATTCTCAAAACATTGTCGTAACAATGTGCAAAAGTCATCAAACATATATACATTGTTTAAGGCCTTATCTCAAGTCACTTCCCGTTGAACCAACTGGCCTTGATGCCATTCATTTTTCACTGAGAATGCTGCCCCTCTTCCTGAAGCATCCTGGCACAATGATGTTGATGCACTCATTGTGTAATAGCAACCCTGATAGTCTGATAGTTTTTATCTTCGGCCAGCCTGCTTGTAGGCCAACCATGGCCAACCCCGTTTTGTTTTTGTGAACGATCAGGCGGAAACCGGGGCGGCGTCCCCCAGCTAGTCTCTCAGAGCATGAATTCTCTTGCAAGTGCGCGGTTTGAAGGCGGGAAAGAATGGCACGCTCAAAGTGCCCTTGAAGTACGGCATGGCCGACTTGCCCGTGACCTCAGCTCACCGGGACATCGGGTGGGAAGCTGGCCGAAGGGGGTCTCCAGATCAAGGTATTCTTAAGTCCCATGCCATGAGCCATTGGATTGGTCCTTCGAAGCAGCGCATGTTTGCAACCACCGCCTGTGAGACACTAAGGCCTGGAAAAGCCCAAGAAGAATGGGAGATCCATGTGACTAAGGTGCCAAACAAGGTGGTGTAGGATCAAGGTCCATCAAGGCTTACATCACTGGCATGTGGCAATGCTTGGCTCCTGAAGCGTCCCTTTTTGAACCATGCCATGGCGGCGTCTCAGGAGTTCGAATACCAGAATTGGTTTTGGGGGCTCGGAAAGACATAATTACACCATGTAACATCATTTGGAAGATTGTAGAAGTACGATTCCCCGCATATCCCCGGCTTTTTCCTTGGAACATGCGTTCTGAGAAAAGAGAAAGGGGCATCCATTTTTTGTTGAACCTGTTGGTCGTTTCTGGGGCGACTTTCAGTCGCCGCCGGACTCGTCCAAGGCCTTCAGAGACCTTGGTCTTTCCACTCGGAGAGCTTGAGTTGGGCACCAATCGCCAGTCACTGGGCTGGGACGGGGGTGAAGATGTTGAAAACAACGACTGAGGCGTGAAGAAGCCCATGTTTTGTTCAGAGATACATGCACATGGTGGAGGGGGGGTTATTAATCAAGAGTCTATTATATATTAGATGTTGTCTTTGGGTTCACTTGGAGGTTCTTCCCGCCCTCACCGAGTTCCTCTCCTCTCAGGATCGATTTGAGCTTGACGGGCGAGCCAGTCCGGACCTGCAAAGACCAGGCGCAACGGCGCTTTTGAGTTCCACACTCACACTGGTGCGTGTGTCGGTGGATGTGTGTGTGTGTGTGTCATGCCCAAAAGACATACCGTAGATGAGAATTATTTGATTTCAGACATTATCAGAGTTTCCTCCCTGAACCAAGAATGGAAGTGTCCATGATTGCTTCAGGCAGTGTATGTTGATGCCTCCAAGTCCCCTTTTCTCGTTTGTTTCTCAAGCCCATGCCACTTGCTCATGCCCTCATGGCCCCATCATGCCGAGATCACTCTCATGGTTTTTGTAGAGAGCCATGGTCCTCCAATCGTCCACTGCATGTGACTTCGGCGCGCAGGCGGACATTTGCGAGGACTTCGCTTCGACCTTCTACACCGCCGGCGCCCAGGGCGGGTCGGTGGGGATGGCACTCACCCCACGGCCCCCACGGGGTCCGAGAGAGGAGCCCTGGATGGAGGGTTGTTGGAGCCAGACTGACATCTCCCCAAAAAGGGCCTCGGCTGGTTTGTTTCTGCGTGCGAACGAGCTACGAGCTGCTCGTGAGTTCGTTTGCTTCTTTCAACAGGCTTCAGGACGTGTGCAATGGTGCGAATTTGGGATAGTTTTTCTGGGCTGTTGTCCACCTGAGGTGATCACAGATCCAGCTGTCATCAGGACTTGGTGGAAGAAGGTTGGACGGTCAATTGGTGCTGTGACTATTGGACCTGTTGGCTTGGAAGGGTTTTCATTTCATGTTGCAAGTTGATGATGTTTGTGGAGTTGAGCGCTCAAACGCAGTTCCTTGTGTTTCACACCGAGTGGAAGAGATCCCTCCAAGATTCCAGCGCCCTCTTATTCAGAGGTCACGCGATGTTCTAGAGCGGAAGCTACGGACATACCACACACTTGGATTTCTTTCCGAGTCCTCATGATGTATCAAAAAGTGATAAAAAGTGTGTCAGGACCAGTGTTGGTTCAAGTAATTATGTTATTCACTTCATCCTTGTCCAACTTCATTCTTGTGCTTTTGATCAGCCCAAGCCAAACAACAGCAGCTGTGGCAAAGAGGTAGGGTATGCCTTTCCGGTGTTTCCAAACCCAGACCCTTCATGTATGCCATATTAGGCATATGTTCCGTACATGGAGTGCCTGAGAATAGTAGAATGTCTAAGAAGGACTTGCAAGAACATTCTACCTCAAACGGGCCAAACAGGTATTGTAGTGGATTTGTTTACCAGGTTTAGTATGGTTTCGGATAGATGGATACAGTGTTAAAAGGAGCTGTCCATCTGAAAAACCATCCGAAACCTGCCCCAACCTGCTTCAACTTGCCCAACCTACACTGGCCCCGCGAGGACCCAATTGGTGGCCGACCGCTGGTTACGCAGCACCTTCGACTTACCCGTGGAGGCGGAACTGGCACGCCCCCCCCCCCCGCCGACACGAGAGGTGTCCTCGTGTTTTCCGGCGAACAAGCGGGTCCTCATCAGGCAATTTAGGTGTTTTCGTTTCTCTCCGAAACTTAGAGAGGCCCTGCTCGGAGAGAGAGCCACCAGTCGGGCCATATAGTTAATTTGATCACCATTCCAAGGCGAGCCTAAGACCTTGAGGAGACCCGATCGACGTCGCAGCGCGCGACGTGGTCACGTCACCCCGCTCCAGGTCGCAGATGCCAAGAAGCCAGAGCCACCCAGAGACGAGCGAGGGATGGTCACTCCAAGACAGGGCTTCCAGTGTTGGAGGGTAGATGACCACCAGACGGACGTATGTTTGGTATGTTTCGTGGACACTAGTGATCGTCATATGACGACCGGGTTTGGACATATTTTTTTGTACATTCATTTCAAGTGGTATAGTCATCGAGTCATTGGCTTCGTGATGTGCTGTTTGACCTCGCTATGTGCGGTGGCATCATAGATTCATTCAGCACCAGAAAGCCTAAGGGCTGAGGGTCCTGACTTCTGATGCTTTTGGGGTATTCATGGTGTATCACGTGTCTGGAAGGGTGTCCACCCCTGGGCGGATCCGACTGTGGAGCCAGCGCCGATGGACCACATACTATGGGATTGACGCTTGAACGGAAGCTCTGGTGACGGTTCCTTTAAGCGCTTGATGTCTCATTTCATGACTTTCTGGGATTTTTTTTGGGAAGACGTATTCGATGCGAGTGATGGAAAGCGCGTGGTTGAAAAACATGGAACGTCTCGTCCGTTGCAGCATTTTTTGGACAGGAGTTCGGCTCATGGACTCATGGAGAAAGTTGGAAAGATTCGTCTACTCCTGCTGGGTGCAGGAATACATGGCAATGTTGGCTGTGGCCGTGTCCGAGTTTTTGTTCAACCTTGCTTACTAACCAAGGCAGCCGAGGCCTTTGGGGATTGTTTGGGGTTGATGGTAGGACAACACCCCCGGAACTCAGACTAATTGACTAATTGGATCAAGAGGCATTTGCGCATCCACACCATCATACACCATTACCAGGGATGGGACCGATCCATTCCAGGCTGATGCAAAATCTGTCATGCAATGCAACCCCTCAGCAACCTTGAGTTTAATTGGCTTTAGCATAGGGCCTGGATCCTCCTTCATGACCTGATTTGGGGTCGGCATCTACCAGGCGATCCCTTTCGAATCCGTCGGGCTTTTTCGAAGACTTCGCTGCGTTTGGGCCGTCCACCCAACCTCGGGTGACTTGATGACCTGAAGACGCTCTCGGTTGTCGTCGATGGACCGCACTGCAGCGCTGCAGCGGATGCGGCACTATGAGGAGAGGAGGCCACCGCGGTCGACCGTAGAGTAGATGGATGATGTGACAACAAATCAGGCAGTCAGCAGGGGCTGATAAGCAGGTGGCAACAAGTAATAGTAGTAATAGTAGATAATAGTATAGTATAGTAAGTAATAACGTAAAACGTAATATACGACACATAATAACAGTAGCAGTAGCAGTAGTAGTAGTAGTAGTAGCAGTAGTCGTGGTGGTGGTGGTGGTGGTGGTGGTGCAAATCTGGCAAGTACAGTAGATGCACGCATCGTTTAGTGTATGGCGCCTGACCGGCGTGACCCGCGCCAGGAGGTCTCGGCAGAGCACCTGGCCTTTCGCCAGTCCTTGGGCTCTGAGCTTCGACTCCGCAGCTGGCGCCGTGCACGCGTGCCAGTGGCTGAAGCCGTCCTGGATGATGAAGAGAGCCTTGGGCTGTCTGGGAGTCGAAGGCCGGGGTGGAAAAAAACGGACATGCTCCCTATTTCGGGAGAGGAATGAAGGTGGATGACGGTTGGGGGGGGGCTGGTGGAAAACTACCGTGTTTCCAAGTAGTTCATCAAGGGGAAACCATTCAAGTCGATATGCAAGATCGCCCCCAGTCTTCCAAGGTGTGGAAGGACCAGACCAGGCGTTGATCTAATCGAAAAGCAAGCACATGCTAATGATTACAGCCTAGACTACCTCAAAACGAGGCGTTTTGATTGGCCAAACAGGGCCAGAAACAGAATCGAAAGCTTGAAGCGAACGTTATGCGACAGAACTTAACGCACTCATGGATACTCATTGGACACATTGACACATGAAATCAAACTAACAGGGGCAAACGCGGATAACCCCGGTATACTGTGTAGTGATGTGCAATATATTATTTACGTATTGTGTACACGAGTGTATATGTTATGGAGATGTGTTATAATATAAGATGTTCCCTAGCTTGAAGGCAAAAGCTGGATACTCTCCGAAAGAGGGTTCCCCTCGCTGCATTTGTGACTCGCTGTGTCGAACATGTTGCCATACCTTTTCGATTCTTTTAACCTCGGCAAAGTTTGATGCATCAAGAGGAATCCCTTAAAAACACCCAGGTAAAACTTAACGTATGCCTATAGCCTATGCTTGAACCCCCTAGCAAGACATGTGCCTTGGGTAAGTTTGCGTATGATCATAGGTCATTGAAACTAGCTTTTATCATGATGACCTTTGCGAGCGGCATTCCTACACTGTGGCTCCCCTTTGCAAATCTAGGTTGTTGACCGTCAAGGAACCTACTGGAATTGCTGGAAGGAATCTATGAGGAAGATTGAGCAGCACTTTCACTGTGACGGGCACTGATTGAGCAGCCTTTTTGAGATGAGCACATGTGTTGCCTTGCCCGCGCAGGAACATATATGATTAACATATCATACAATTTAATATGATTTTATATATGAAATCAAATGATGTCAGATATGAAATCATCATCATTTGTCACAGGCGTCCTCTTTTACTCCATGGGCATCCTCTGTTCGGTACCACCCATCGCTCCACCGACATCGAGGAACGCGTACCGCTTCTTGCGGACGACGCACTTTCTGAGCGGAAACCGCTCGTGCTTCAACTCCACCTGGGCAGCCCGGAGGTGAGACTGGAGGAAGGATGAGGATGACTGGAGGTAGGTTGGTTTTACTATAAGAGACTATAGTAAAAGGGAGGCCCTTTCGCAGCTGTGCAGTTGGCCTGGAACGACTGACCCAGTGGTTCTTTGAGAAAAAGACCTCCGACTCCAAGTCTCCGAGTGTGATGCAGCAGGATGGTAGTAGCCTGGGTGTCCCAAAAGGTCTAAATCGATGCATTTCCAGACGTTCCAACATTGCAGGGGGTCCTTACATCCCAGGCACGAAGGGAGCTCTTTGGGATGTGAACCTTTAAGTTTGATATATTTGGTCGTGTTGAGCTTGCCCGGACTGGTCGAACTGGTTTTCCAGACTCGCAAGACAAATATTGCCAAAGCCTGAAGATCCTCCTCCTGCCTTGAAGCCGGTCGCGTTATGTCGCGTGCTTGGTTTGATCTCCGAGCATTTTGTTGCATGTCCCAAGGGATGTCATGGGTGAATTGATCTATCTCAGCACGTCTCTCATGCATTGTCCATTGCCATGTCCAGGTGCTGTCGGCAGCGGACCCGCAGCCGATCTTGCTTCGATGTTCACCGTTCAGCACACTTGTGTTGCTACAGCCACGACTCTCTCCAAGACGGCGCGGGGTGGGGCGTGGGATCCAGAGACCCACGGGGAATCCAAGAGGCTTCCATGGCCAGAGAAGGATCTTTGGGGAGCTGGGTTGGGAGCTGGTTGGGCTGGGTTTTGGGCTGGGTCCCGGGTTGGACGTCCAATCTCTCCAGCGCCCAGGAACGTCCTGAAGATCGGCTCTTCGCTCCAGCGCCCGGGCGAAGCGCGACGGCGTTAGAGGTTCGAAACTGTTCTGCTCTGGAAGCGCTGGCAGATGCTGGGATTCTCACATGGGTCGAGGCCCTGCTACTGGGACTCTGCGAGAACTGGGAGGGCGGATGAGAGTGGCGGAGGAGCGTTTTTCTTGGGACTGTAGTGATTCCAGATGATGGAACTGTATCATCCAGCGATGGAACGAAGTACCAAGTACACTGGGAATGAAACAAACATTCTCAACCCGAACTGATCGCGAGGATCATATTCCAAGCAACACGTTTCCGGGGGAAGCATCCCTGAGATGGCCACATGCTTCCGCTGCAGTCCAAACATCCGGTGAATCTAAAATCACAAAAGCAGTGTTGTTGAACATATGCTCAGGACCAAGAATTGAGCTTGGTTTGCTCATCAAAACGGGATTCAATCAAAACTGCACCACACCCAAGCCGGGGACCAGCTGACGAGCAGGAACTTCTCACGTCTGAGTGTGGTTCTTGGATTCTTGATATCCCTGTTGGACTCCTGTTGGGTGAACCGTTTCAAAACTGTGAGATGAGCAATCTTTTGATGGGCATGGTCAGGAGTCAGGCCTTTATTTGAGACGCCCAACCTACCCGGGTCAGGTGCTCCATGCGGGAAACGCACATGTGAGCAGTTCTATCCCACACACTCCTTGTATGGACAAAAATCCTACATTGACCCCACCAAACCACCCCCCCAGTGTAGGCCAAAATCCGCCCTGTACATGGAGTGTTCGGGTATGTTTGGGTTTTGTGTGACTTCCCCTCCATCTCGAGGCTCGGCTTGGCGCCGCAGCAGCAGGGCCCCTGCCTCGCTGGGTCCCTCGCGCCGCGCCTCGCGCGGGCGCCGCAGGAGGCGGCCGCAGCCGCCATGGCACGGCTGAGCGCCGCGTGGCGCGTGCGGTGCCCGGCACGGGCGGCAGGGAATGCGGCGCGGCGGAACTTGCTGCTGCCACTGGGATGGAGCTGGTATGCCACACCAAGAGTAGGAGACTGCGCAACTTTTTTAGGACGTTTAGGAGGCTCACTCACCTGGAACTTTGCACAATGTCAAGCGTCCGTCCAGAAGGCTCACTCATCACAACATGTTTTGTGACTTACTGTAAATGTTTTCTTGCCGTAGATCTCCACAGTCGACACTCCCCTTCCAGGATTGAGCAAACACCGGGTCGGTCATTGGCAAACCTATACCTTGCTGCACAGTCATCGAACACATGGACCACGGGGTTGTTTCAAGATAATATGACCCCAACCACTGGGTGAATGTTGCCAGTTTGTGGCGTCCACAAATCCTTCCCCCTCCGCGCGAAGCAAGAAAGTTGAAGAAGGTGATAGAACATCACGGGACCTCCAGATCGCCACTTTGATTGGCATTGTTCATCCCCAAGCAAATCCTTTTTCAGAAGCTTGGGGGAGCTTGTGCAGGTCATATGCATTGGGAAAATGAAAAAGAACCCTAGGCCTCCAAGTGCCTTCTGAGAAGGTGTTTGGGGTGGGTTTGGAGGGTCCAAATAAGGGAGCAACCACGGGAGTTCCCCAACCCCGACAGCTAGATTGCGCAGGTCACATCCGAATCCCTGCGCCTCATCACATCGCACGGACCCAGAAAAGTGGATGACCTTTTAAATTTAACACTTTGGGTACCTCTTTTGGAGGCTTCAATTCCACTGCATATGAACATCGCTACTAGGACTAGGACGGAGGCCAGCGCTACTATGAAAATAAGACGGAAAAAGGTAAACAGGGTGAAGCTTTCTTGCTCGGATCTCCCGCTTCGTCCGTCGCCCTCTCCGAGGTGGACGGAAGACTCCCCCCACGTCGCGGCCGAGGAGGTGGCTCGAGCGCTGGCCACGCTGCGGCACTGCGCGACGGGGAACGAGCCAGTGCAGCAGCTGCATGTGGCGAAGACAGCCGGCACGTGGCGGTGGCTGCAAGACTTGATTTGCACCGGGAGAGGTAGACCTGGACCTCGGAAGAGACACTGGAGACCTTTTCTCCAGCGGAAAACGAACCATTTGTTTGGAGGGTTGTATTTGACAGGGGTCTCAAAGGACGCGTGAGGTGAGGTTTGGACTCCAATTGGACATCAGACTGGTCATTAGTTAGTTATATAAGTTATATAATTATATAATGTTTACTTCATTTTGATTCCTTAGTTATAGGTCCCCCCCACACCCACACCAAGAAAACACTTTTGTAGCAAATCTATGTTGGCTTTTGCCTCTAAACTTGTGCAGGATTTCTGAGTGCTTGAGTTCGATAGCAGTGGAAGAGCGGGACTGAGTACATCAACACGTTTTTGTGTCGGAGAGGCTTTGGTTCTAGATGACTTGGTACTTGGTTCCTAGTTTTGTGTGGACTCCACATTGAATAATATTCTTAGATGAGGTTGCCCAGCACCGCACATGCGCTTTGGAGCATTTTTGGTCAAATCACGAAAGCTAGCGAAGCTAGCTGGAGTTACTCTTGCGATAGCAAGGTTTCTTTCGATCGGGTGCAAATCCTAACCCCTGATCTTTCAGGTCGAAGCCCCCCCCCTCCCCCCCCCTCCCTCTCCCCACCTCCCCTCTCCTCCTCCTTGTCTTCCTCCCACCTTCCCTCCCTCCTCCCTCTTCGCAAGTTCGACTCCGTCCTGTCGTCGCTCTTTGGCATGCGGTTAGCGTTGCGTATCTTGCGGCCGCACTCGCTCACTCTCACTCTCACTCTCACTCTCACTCTCACTCTCACTCTCACTGTCTCTCTCTCTCTCATCTCTCTCATCTCTCTCTCATCTCTCTCTCATCTCTCTCTCATCTCTCTCATCTCTCTCTCTCTCTCATCTCTCTCTCATCTCTCTCATCTCTCCCTCATCTCTTTCTCATCTCTCTCTCATCTCTTTCTCATCTCTCTCATATCTCTCTCATCTCTCTCTCCTCTCTCTCTCTCTCTCTCCTCTCTCTCTCTCTCTCTCCTCTCTGTCTCTCGTCTTTCCGTCTCTCTTCTCTCCCTTCTCTCGCAGGAGGATCCGGGCAAAGAACCACATATAAAGGACTCTTCACCCCTGCCTCCAAAAAGAGCGCCGTGTTTTTTCCTACCTCGCTGCCCTCCACTTTCCCATTCTGGAGCGCTAGCTTTCGCCCCCCCCCCTTGGCCTCAAGTGAGGAAAGTCAAGGCAGACAAAGGAACAGCACGCAGAGGGAAGTGCTGGGAAATGTCGAATTGAACTCGATCGCAGAAATCAATCTTATTTGCTGAGTCGAGGATGCATGATTCAATATACACGAGGCTTGTCATGTTTTTGAAGCCAGGCCACATCCTGTTGGCCAAACAAAGTCAGATTTAAAGGAACAGCTGCTTGTTGGTGCATTCCTGGCTCGAGGTGTTCCAATTAGATGTCTTTGTGAGACTGACCTAGCATTTTAGATTGGATCATCCAGTTTGCAGACCCTGAGACCCGGCATCTATATATATATATTCTCCATAAACCTGGTTTTGCTTAAGGTGATTTGTACTGATTTGTTATTTTCCTTATGGTCCAACCCCCTTCCATGTTTGTCCAGGAGCATCCAGCAAATCCGCCCCCATGAGCCAGAGAGCGGCCGAGGTTGGGGAGTTCCCAACCCAGCTCGTCAAACGGATAACATGATTGGCTGACTCGTCCCATTCCCTGGCGTCGTTTTTCTCAGACATCCGAAGCAACCTCCAACTGTTAGAGTGTTTTGCTCGTACGTCTGACAAGCCTAAAGGATTGCTCAAATCATCTCAAATCATATTCTGGGATATCCGATGAATAATCCATACTAAAATCCAGTACCCCAACCCCACTAAATAGTACAAACCATTCTCCGAAACGCACGTACGTCCAGGACTTCATAACAGGGATGGGTTTTTTCCGGAATCCCCAAAAAGTCCTTGGTCCAGAACTTCAGAAAAGCTAGATAAATAATGATGTGACTGACTTGAAAGACTACATGTTAGGTCAGACGCAGGATTCTATAAAAGGACGTGTTTTTTCCACTTGGAGGTCTCTGAGGGTCAAGCTCAGGATTATATTGTGTTTTGTGTTTCGCAGTCGTTCCTTGGACTCCGCGGTCGTTCCTTGTGTTTCGCGGTCGTGCTCGATGTATTGTGTTGGGCTGCAGCATGCCACAGACACGAGAGTGTTTCATTTTAACAAAGTCTATTTAGAAATGACTAATACGCCACGCAAACTCTGCAGGTCTATTCCCTCAATGGAAGTACACCAGGCATAATCGATTAGCGCATACAAACTAGACAATATCCTCAATTCGCCTGTCTCAGTATTTGGTGGGTGATCTATTTGGGAATTCGGCAGCCAGTGTGAGAGATTCGTCCAGTACAGACGGTTCACCACCACCACACGATCGAAAGATCCCGCAAAGGAAAAAAGTAGAGCTCTTTTTGTGCAGAAAAACATGAGCCAGGGTCAATGACAGCATTTCAGTATGAACCAGAATTTTGTTTCATACACATGTCCCGACCTCAGTCCCAGGACTTTAGAAACCTTGGTCCTAGGAATTTAAAAGGCAAAAAAAACTATCATGTTTTTTGCATCGTACCTTGGGCCACTAAAAAATAAAGAAATGACCTCAGTCCCGAAGGATTTTATAAAATAAAGTCCTGAGTCGGACCTCTGGGCATTATTCAAGGAACATTCTGGGATACCCTATCTACATTATAGTATGAATAATGCGCTATTCATTATCCCCCCCGGACATCACCTGCTTTGTTCCTTGAAACTCACATCCGTGCTTGAGGAGCCTGTGCTACTGGGCGAACCGCAGTGGATTTCGATCACTTTGGCCCGCACAGCCGGCACTCCACCGTTGCCAGTTACCGGGTGATGGGCCATTCTGGCTGGGAGAAACCTGAAACTGCACAGATCGGGCGCATTTTGGGCTTCTCAAGGCACGAAGCCCAAGCACAAGGCACAGCAATAATCCCAAACCAACTGGCCGTTTGATGTTAGGCTGGTTCCTCATCGAGTGAGGGGAAACCGTGGGTATATGAAATGAGGACGAGCGGAAGCATGCGCAAGGTTATGGGACATGGCCTCACTCTGTACAAGACGGTCTCCAAACATATCGTTGCAAGAATTCCTTGCCAGTTGTAGCATTTACATGTCATGTTCACAAATAGCATCTAATGTACGCTGAGTCTCTGAAGGCAGATTGAACAGCCACGCGCAGCTATACTGCCGTTTGGAACCCCAAACAACCAGAAACAATATGAAACAATTGGTTGTTCCAATATGGCCATTGACATCCTTTACATTTAGAAAATGGCTGTTTGGGGAAGCATCCATTGGGGTTCCAGGTGTAAATTGTTCTTTTCTTGCATTTTTCCCACGTGTAAATCGTTCTGGCGCCGGTGGTCCACGTTCGCCGGTCTCAGGAGCGAGCATCTCCAGCTGGTTGCTCCCAGCGTCTCAAAGAGAGACTTGCCAGCACTCACCAGAAAACACGTCAGTGGAGATGGGTACACCAGAACAGCCGGGTAGATTAATTAATAGAGACCCCCTGGCCCAATGGTTAGTTAGACTGGTGTATTTCTCTTCTTCGAAGGGGTTGAACTGGGAGGTCTCCGAATGCACACCCAGCTAAAAACTCCACGGATGGTGTGGGCTGAATCTGGGGATTAAACCGAAATATACACGTTGCCCCTTGAAATTTTGGACATTGTTCCTCCCATGTCCTTTGTATAAATACTTACTTTAGATCTCCAGTTGTGGGTCGCTTTTGAAATGGCAGCGCACCTTACAAATAGATCTGTTGAAATCGCTCATGCACGTTTCAGGGTGTCTAGCGTTTGTCGCTTTCATTGATTCATTGTGTAGGGATCCCTGTACCCTGAGGCTCGAAACCTTGACGAATATAGCTTTTAAGCAATGGGTGCTTTCTGGAATCGTAGACCTTTCATGTTTTTGGGGACAACATGGGACAACTAGGGTTGGTCCAATGTAGCATGCAAACTTAATTAAGTATACTAAAAAAAAGCCCACCGACTGAAAAGAAACTCCGGCAAAGGGTTTCGGGCACTGATTTCACCTTCTGCGCAAACGCCACGTCTTATCGTCGACGCATTTGAAAATAGACTAGAGATGCTGCCCGCTGCCTGAGCCTGAGGAAGAACACTTTCCACCTTCCAAGCTTGGTGATTTCCACATGATTTGCTTCCTCGTCACCCCTTTTCATCCTTCCAGGATCCCCTCCCGGGTCCCAGCTCCCCCTTCCTCCGGGCCCCACCTTGCTCCCTCCAACTGGGGCTTGCTCCGACCCGGTCCCACCGGTCACCGAGGAAGAACATGGAAGAACCCTATAGACATCTATAGACTGTCCCATCGTTATCCCAGTGTTGTAGACTCTTTGACAATTCCCATTTGAATTGGACATCCTCTTCAGGCTTGGGCGGGTTCGACAAATCCAAGAGTCTACAGTATAGGGTCCTGTTTCCCGGTCACACAAAATACAAACAAAAAAACCTATGCCTAGTCAATGCAATCACAGGCGAGCAAAGGCTAATCTCCTGAGAGGGCGATGGAGAGAGAGAGAGAGAGATTGGTTGAAAGGTGAAGTCAATTGGTTGAAAACCCTTAACCTTTCCAGCTTTCGCAGGCTCCAGCTGCGCAACCTCACCTGGAGCTCGGTGGAGCGCTGGTTGGACCTGCCCCTCTGCCCGCAGCTCCGCTACGTGGCGCAGCTCCGACGGCCGGTGGCCAGGCGGTCCGCGCGGAAGACCGCGAGTCCGAGCGAGGATTGGAAGAGGGAGATGACGGAGCAGAGGATTTGGAAGAGGATTGAGGGGTGATCTTGAGAGATTGTTGTTTTCATCACAGGACGTTGCATCACTTCGTGCATTTGCTGAGCTTCCCGGCGCACATTCAAGGCACATGTGCCGTTCGTTCGCGTGTTGGGAGGCGTTTTCGGGCGGTGGGGGCAGTGGGGGGTGGACAGGGTCGGTGGTGAGAGACCTGAGGGTCGGCTCTCAATTGGACTTCCAAGGGCCTGCTCCAAGTTTGCTCCAAGCGTCGTTGTGCTGCGTTTGATTCCTTTGAACATGTTTCTTTTGATCAGGGTGTGGGTTTGCGAATGGCAGCATCAGAAGGCAGGATATCTATGGAAGACGTGGGGCTCATATTCCCCTTACTCCAAAGTGGTGTTCTTAATGGTCACATCCTTCATGAGCGCGGCGGCATACGAGATGGTCACTTGGAACCGATCGTGCAACAGCTTTAGATCGTCGACTCCGGGGAGTCATGCAGGTTTGCGTAGCTTAACAGGGTGACCTCTCCACCCAGTGGGTTTTGGTCTATGTTTAGTCTTTCAGGAGGTTCTTTTGGAGGGAACCCAGAAAATCAACTTCACATTGTCAATTGGACACCCCATAGCTAAAGTCCAACCTGCATGGAACACGGGATTGAAGCCTGGCAGAAGCTGCCGCGGTTAAAAACGATGGAAACCGGAGAAAACATATGCTTCATGCTGGAGAATTCTCCCCTACCACTTTTAAATGTATTGGAGGGGTACCTCAAGAAATCCTCTGCGGCCATGGGGATAGCTTTAGCATGCTTTAGCCGAAGCCCGCATAAACCATCACAAACTCATAAGATAAATAATTAACTTAAATGACCCAAACACTCCATGTATGGCAGGTAAATATACATTGGGGTGGTTGTAAAGGGGTCAATGCAGGCTCATTACCATACATGGAGTGTTTGGGTTAGGTGGGTGCACATTTTTTAACCACATGTCCAGTGGGCTTGTCTCTGCCCTAGAACTCCTTCCGCTTGAGCCGAGGCTTCTTCCGCCTGGGTCGCTTCGATTTAGGGCCTGAGCTTTTTGACTTCAAAGCCACCGTGGAAGGCGGGGGGTATGAGATCCTCGACTGAAATCCCAAGTAAAAGCATACATGAGGCGCAGATCAACAACAACACCCAATGATATTCAAAACAACTTGAAAAAATCAACTCAACGAGAACCAGCGACTGTCACTTTTTGATGATGGTGAAAGACAGAACAAATATGTAACTGGCATCTCGCAAAACCATTTGTAGGGACTCCCATTAGGGTGCCTCCATCCCGCACTGCGTAACAATCTTCCCTTACATCGGCTTTGATGGCAACAACAATCGTCAGCCGTTCATGCTGCCCAAGACCCATCTCAACAAGCAGCAAAACAACCACCGGCTCAGCCCAACAGCCAACTCGCTCAGCCCACCTAACACCCGAACCGAAACGATAACCACCGAATGTTCAAATGGCAACTGATCTGCTTGTTCAGTCACATCAGTCACCTGGAGGCTTTTTTGCGAAGCTCCTTTCGGCCGACACGCTGAGCGCCATGCGCCTTGGCCACAGATCGGCATCAGGTGCCCGAATCGCAGGCGTCCCACGACGAATCCATCCATAAGGGCCGTGTATGGGTTTTTGAACTTCTTTCATAATCATAGTCAGACCGTGGCCCGGTGGTTTTAGTCTAGTCTTGCACTTCCCAGGGTTTGGGAGGTTCTCCATATATTGCAGTGCCTTTGTAGGCCCGATCCTCACATGTAGCACTACCTGGGATGCTGAAAAACTCCATTTACACGCATTTGCACGCATCAAACACTGGTGGTTTTCCCAAGGCCAGGTGGTTTTGCGTTGGGGGAGTGCTGAAGTTGCTCGTTTCATCCTTTCCTTTGTTCCAGCTGAGGCAATTGGACGAACAAGGTCTGGAAGGTAGGGGGAAGTATTTGGAAGTGGGGGGCATTTGCAGCAGAGAAGCCGAAACAATGGCTTGATTTCTTGCAAAGCCTTCAAGAATGAAGTGTTTGGCACGCTGGGACAACACATGTAAAGCATGTCAACAAACAAAGAAGACTAGGATTGACACCAACAAAGTTCAGCGACAGTCTCCAATAGAAACAAGGAAGGGATCCATTTATCTCGATACATGTCGACATGGGGTCACTCTCGGGTGGTCAAATGCTCAGGTTTTGAGCCGTTTTCCATCCACCACCACGAAGGGGAAGACGCCCCGCCGTTCGAGTCTGGTTGGGAATGTGTTTGAAGTTTGTTTGTTCCCAGTCTTTTGGCCTCAAAATGCATGGCCTTTGTGGAAGATTCCATCTTTAGTATTGGTGGCTGGTGAAGTTCTTAGATCCGAACATGGGATCACTGCCTTGTATACGGATGCGCAACGCATCGCCACCCAAGCCTCGCATAAGACGTGCGGGGCTCCGGGTCCGCGTCCGCTCCTCACCCCGCGGACACCGCGCCATCGCCATCGCCATGATTTCGGGCTATGTCGATCCGCAGGGCCGGATGCTCTCAGGGTCCGCTTTTGTGCTCTCGGTAGTGCACTTGAGATGACAGGATGGACTCCCCGGATTTTGAGGACGTCCAGACAAACGATGGATTTATGGGGACGGGGTCCTGGTTTTGATGCCATAGATGTTCCTTAATGTAGACCCTTTGATAAATAACACCTTCAATTTGAACTGTAAAACTGACACCATTCATATGCTTTCTAATCAACTGCCCTGCATTCACATAACACTTTAACATAACACTTTAACATTTTAACATCTTTATATACCAGATATACACGCCGCAAATCCAACTGTTTGACGAAATCTTCGTATGCCGAGTATGTATATGTGTTGTTTTTTTGAACAATATCAACCGTGTACCGTAAACGGTGGATCGAGACGATGCCGATGTCTCAGTGCCTCGCGGCTCTGCCGGTGGGCCGTGTGACACGAGGGCCCAAGGGGCCTGGCCACGTAGGTTCCTAGAGACCTGCTGACGATTTCGGAAAGAACCTAGGAGAAACTAAGAAGCTAGGCTTTTGGAAGCGATGAATATTATCTAGAATTGCCTCATTTCCCCACAGAGATCCACACGATTTGTTCCACTCCACACCCATCCTATCAAACCCGGGACTGCCAGACTTTTTGCAAGACGAAGGGGACAAGCCATCCACGCAGGCCTCAGCCAACAGGCTTCCCTTTTCCCTTCCCTCTTCCTCAGCTGTTCCACAGCTCATGGTGGCGGGTGGGAAAAGCCGCGGCACAGGCACAAAACCTCCACGCTCATCCCAGGTGCCTGTGAGCCAGGTGGAGCCTTATCCGAACCGGCGGCTCTCCGGCTCTGCTTATGTGCCAGTGCATGTGGATGTTCCAAGACTCCCAGGATCTGCTTACCTCCCCCCGGGCGCGGCTTGCACACCGTCCCTTGGCGCGGGTCGCTCTGAAATCAGGTGGAAATACGGAAGCCAAGGTTCTTGTGGATTGGTCCTTATATGTAGAAATCCAAAGCCAATTTCGAATCCTTCCGATTTGAACGCTGCCTGGTGATAGTCTTGGGGTGGAGAGGTTTGGATCTGCCTTTCCTCCATGGAATAGTGAAACTATTGTCATTTGGCGAGACACCCTGTCACGCTGGTCTCCAAAATCTTTGGATGACTGAAAGAAGAAATCCGAGGACCTGCAGAGTGGAAGCCCATCCTGTTTCACCCACGTGATATGTTTCTCTCAGGTCAAAGATCTCATTGGTCATTAAAACGACCCTATACTCAAGGAGGTAAAGTAGATGATATAACAATATATAATTCGTTCAGTTGGCCCATGCAGAGTAAGTATTTCTACGCATACTTTACTCATTCACATCCGACATGCAGAGCATGCTCCCTGCTGTATGTCTTGGGCCAACATCAAGGTACAAAGAAGAAAGCTACTGAATTGGTTATATACATGTAATGAGCACCAGCACCTTCATGTCGGGGTCACCTGGCTGGAAGGTACACTACGTACAGGGACCTCCAGACAGGACACTCCTTGAAGGTCCAGGTAAGAATTACGACTTTGGGCATTTGAGCCCAATAGTTTTTCGCGTACCCTGCCGCCCAAGGCCAGCCGTCCCCAGCCGCCGGCTGTCGGCCCCGCACCTCCCTGCGGTCGCACACGTCGCCGCGGGCGCACCGGTGGGCGCTCTGGAGCCGGTGGGGCCTTCGGTGCCGGGGCCACACATACCGGTCTATGCACCAGCACCTAGCCCAGAACTGACTGGACTCATGAAGTACTCCACCTGGTAGTCCATCCATCCACTTCGGGGTGTTCGGGGTCAAAGAGTCATTGGCAGGACTCTCAGGATAGACGGGCTGCTACGATGTGGTCGCGGGTCGATCGTGGGGGGGTTCGACCGCAGGATCTTCTTCCCCATGTGCCGATCGTTGGGCAGGTCGGATGATCGTTTTCGGTTCCGGTCCATTTCCGCATGGGGAATGCTGCAGCACCGGTCCGAAGCAATACCTAGGACCTAGAACATCCTAGAACCAAGACTTGCTTCGAGTCCCGGATCTTCGGAACCGAATACATCGTATATACCGATCCGTTTGGCTCATGGCATCCCATTTTCCATGCTGGTGTGCCGTTGGGGTCGCTTAATGGCCTTCTAACAAGACCTCAGATTTTGCCGACACCAGGACTTGCTATCCGGACTTGCTGAAACAGTGCTGTGATGGTGTGCCGTTTGGGTGCTAGGCAGTCGCTTTAGTGGATTCTTTTTGAACAGGATCAAAGGTAGTATGGATGAACTAAAGTTATTTTCTTTGTGAGCGTTTTTGGCTTGCACAATTTCTGAGGCACCAGAAATGAACAAAAAGCCACACTCCCTCGCAGCAAGAATGAAGCTAAGAAGGTCCCTGTATGTCTATCACAATGCTCACCCACTTTGGTAGAGGTTGGCTATGGGTCAAACCTTGGTTGACCACTCTAATTAAGACTAGACTACCTCAGAGTTCAAGCTACATATACCACTGCGGCTGATGCAAATGAATGTTCAACCTGGTTGCAATTTCCTCGAGAGGACGGCATGGTTCGATGCAGTGGCCCTCGCCCAGGCAGCATGCGAAGTTTACGAAGAAGAAGATTTGCAAGAATATTTCCAATTGGGCCACCCGAATGACACAAGGGGACCCCAATGCCACGGCTGCAGTTGGAGTTGCAAAACAGAGAAACACATGTTTTTGTGGGAGGCAGCAAGAAAGTAGTTGAGGGGAGACTTTTTTGCAGTGTGACTCTTCAGAATTTGGAGATTCTGATGTTTTGCTTAGCATCTTAGTCATTTTTGTTTGTTCCTTATTTCTATACCCCTGTGATTTTCCTTGTGAGATCTTGTGAGCAGTCTCCGTGAGTCCTTTGTTGGTTCACTTTTGAAATCTTTGATGTTTGAACGAACGCTGTTTTGTCCTTCGCTGTGCATTTAACTCAGACTGGAATGAGGCAAACTCAAAGCTGAGCTGGTCGTGAAGGAAACACGATGTAATCAGCTTTGGGGTATATATTACACATATATACCTGGATCCTCCTTTGGGCGAAAAAAAGTGCCGGACCTCAATCTGGCAAAATTTTCCGCCGGATTCCGAAAAAAACGCCGGAGACGTGCAAAAACATCCGAATCCAAGATTCTGAAACACAGAAATGATAAAAGGTTGGATCATACACAAGCAAACTGCCTTTGGGCCACGAATAGTTTTTCTGGAGCACACTCATTCCACAGCCCAGCACTGGAGCCTTCCCGTTCCCATTGCCCTCGCCCATCTTCCGAATGGCCTAAGAGCAGGACCGTCACAAAATGTAAGCAACTCGTGCCCAAGCAAAGACTTCCAAGAAGAAACCAAGGAGTATGTGGCAAGGAACCCCTCTTTCTCTGCAACCGTGTCTCTAAAGTTTTTTGTTACAAAGTGGGTTGCTCTCCATGTTTCTTTAATGCTTGCCTCAGGACGGCCCCCCCAAGAAAGTAGCAGAACTCATGGTTCCTGTCAAAACTCTTCTTTGAACAATCAAAACCTGCAGAAGACTCAGTCCAAAAAATTGCGCCGGAGTTACGGGAAATCACGCCGGAGTTACGGGAAATTACGCCGGAGTTACGACACGCCATTTTTTGGCAACTCTCTGCAAAACATAGAGATTCTGAACAACACATGTTCCACAGCGGCTCTGCAAACCTGCGCAGCTAGAACTATATCCCAGCGCCCCGACATGCTGAAACAGTGGGAGTACGTTTTTGCCTATGTTCTTTCAGCTTAGGTACACCCACTTGGGTCTTTCAACACGTGCATCGCACTGTACCGGCTTCATCCGGTTTCATTTAGAAGATCACCTAAACGGATCTGATTGATCCAGTGTGAACCATGCTGAAACCGGTGGAATGAGAAAACAGCTCAATAGGCAAACGAGCACACTTTGCAAACACATTTCTTTGCATCAGTAGTGGGTTTACCTTCAAAGACATGCAAGCCACAAAGAATGCAAAGCCTTGAGAATCCACATAAAGTGACTTGGAAAAAGTCCCGGACCAAATCCAGAAAAATGCCGGAGTTGGAAGTCCGGCGCCGGACCCTGTAAAAGTGCCGGACTGAAGATCTAGGTATATATCCGGGCGGGTTTACTTAAGACAGTAGTACGAAATGCATCGAGCACGCTTTTGCCGCGCAAGCTTTGTGGTGTCTTTTAATATACATAGAACACAGTCACACAGTGGAATAGAACTGGCCGAATCTTTCGCAGGGCTCGTCGTCTGTTTTTACAATCCAAACATCCTTGGCTTGATGCACCGCGCGACTCGTGACGGAACATCACTCGGTCAGGGTTAAAGGGTTGGAAGACATGGACCTGACCTGGAAGACAAAGTTGTTCAACTTGTTTCATGGACGTGCTACCCATGGAGGTTAAGGGTGCCCCTGTCACATCCATTCACTGGATGGGACGAGCCACACCACGAGCTCTGTGACTCCTGGGAGAAGCTCTCAGTTCCCATCTTTCCTGCTTAAACCTCACGATGAGCCGTGGCACGGCCGTCTCTGTGAGGGTGCTGTAGCTGCCGAAGCCCAGGTGACGAGGCCTCGAACATCTATGGCAACTGGCGGGCCCCTTGGGCGGAGACCGCTTGGACCTCTGAAGCAGAGCCTGAGCCAGTTGCCCGGCCGTGCTTGGACTTTCCGACGTCGCACGTTGGCCCGGCCGAGCGTTTTTGGTTCAAAGGCGAAGTGAGAAGCCGGTGGAAAGGGGCCAAGGCCAAGGGGGGGGTCAAACACAACGTCAAGTTCATCTTCGTCTTAGTCGAGTTGCCTGGTTGCCCCAATTTTAAAGAAAGACCCTGCATGGGGGACCAGTCAAACAACAAAATGTTTTCGGGTGGTGTGAGGGCCGGTTTCTAGATCTTCCTGGCCATTTCTTCGCTGGTGTCATGTTCGTTTCCTGATGGGACCTTCGTGATCATTAGAGATCACAGGCCTGTCAATGTGACCAGGTACACCTGCAGCGCTGTTCAATGCGCTTCGTTCAATCCATTATATACAATTTGCCCATATTTGCCCCACCAACTCTTCTAATTTTCCAGGCGCATCCACTGCCTGGCAAGAAGGCTCTTTTGCCTCTCTCAATGGACACTCTTGGCGGGCGTCAAACCGCGCTATATCCGGCGCTATATCATGCGTTCACCCACGCTAACTCCCTCCGGAACTCCATGCGGGCGGGTTTTGGTCGCGCGTGGGACATGGTTGTTTCTGCCGAGGTGCCGGAGTTCGACCATCAAGAAGCCTTTCGACAAGAAGTCATGCCAGCCACTTGGAGGCAGGAGGCAGGAGGTGGGCGGTGGGTGGAGGGAGTGAGGGGGGAGAGATGTGATTGGAGGTGGAGGTTCCTGCAAACCAGGGTACTCGTATGTGCTTTAGAACGACTTTGAGTAGCTGAGTAGCGGAAACCATCCACAAGGGGTCCTGCCTTTGGTATTCTCATGTAGTCGTTTGCTGAGGTTGTCCATGGCATGTTCCTTCAGTGCTATGCCTAAAGAGTCGGGCAAGCCGGCCCAAAAGGAAAACACCTGGATCAACGCGGCAGCCTCTCTTTCTCCAAAAGGAAAACGACCGCAGTTTCTCGCTCCAACGGACCGAGGATGCGACCGAGTCGCAGTTCTTGGCGCTTTTGGATTCCTTGGAGACGCGTGTGGAGCTCATGTCACAGATGCAGAAGACCAGGAATGCCATACACCAGGTGCCCGGAAGCTCGGTGAGGCTGGCGGTTTTGCTTAGACCGTTTGTTCTCTCCCTGAGGAGGGCTGCGTTTGGAGAGGTTCCACATGCCCCACAAAGATGGGAATTTTTAGTATCTATCATGAAGAATCCCACTGCCCGTTTGGAGATGTTTGGAGTATTTTTTTTACCTCGGGTTTATTCATCAAGATTCCTATGTTTGCAAAACGCATCAAAACATGTATATTATAATAATCCGTGGTCCAATGAGATTTGCCCGACGTAGCTTGCAGTTTTTGCGCGTTGCTGTCCTTTTGGTTCCTTTCTTAAACAAAAGCTTTTTATGAGGTATTCAAGTGGCCATCAGGTTTGTGCGACTGACATGTCAGCTTGCAGCGGCAGTGATTCTATTTTGCGCCTTTGGTCCACAAATCCCACTCACAGCAGATCCAAGGATACGACCGACGCGAAGATCGCACGTCACCACACCTCTCATCTCACGCGTCACCAAAGAAGCAAGAAGATTTGCTGGACGCCAAGCCTTTGTTTCAAGGTGGTTTCCCAGAAAGCCCGAGGCCTTCAATGGCCAAAGACCCGATGGTTGATTTGCTTTATCCTTTTGGCGTTTTGGATGTTTTGGCGATTAATGGCACAGGTGTATTTCACTGAGTTGCTCAGGACGTATCTCAGACAATCGACACCAATCAGCTTGGTGGCAAGCACAACTTTAGCGATAATTTTGTGCCTTGGGAGCGGATTACTTATTTTCGTTGCTTGCTTTTGAGCTCAGCTAGTGGATCAAGAGGAGAATATTTTCAGAGATTTTCGAGTCAAGCCCAGTCTACTGGACTTCACCATGCTTCACCTATTTCCAAACCATCCGGCGTCTTCTATTGGGTGTGCTGCCCCTCTCCCCCCATAAAAAAGGATGAGTTTCGGAAGATGGGCATCTTGGCCCCCCAAAAGAATGCGGTTCCTCGTCTTTTCGGGGCGCCTGGGCGCATTGGTTCCTGAGTGGGCCGGTCAGTTCGGAGTGGTCTAGCGATCTGCTCCCGGTGAGGACGACAAGGAACCGAACTACGAGAGCCTCGCGCGTCAGATGGCCGCCTGGGTGCGAGAAGCGAGTCGGTCGGGCGACGCGGGACCTGAGGTGTTTGACATGGATTCAACGCGTCTGGCAGCAGTAGGAGGTCCGAGCTTAACAGAAAGACATGAAATAAGACTGCTGCAGGAAGTTTGGTCTTTGGTCAAGGACTCGGACTCCCAAGTGAGCAGGATCTACCCGTATATATGAAACAAATCCATTTGGCAGCCGGACTGTTGTGTCCACCAAATCCCACGGTCTTCGCCGGTAGTATCCGGTATTGATCACACAAAATGACACATCCCAGATGCTCCAAACAGGCCTTGGTCCCTCAAAACAATAGGCCGGGATTTGAGGTCCGGACCCCTCCATATGAGGGTACGGCCCCTACTTAGGAGGGTCCAATGAGCGTTTGGGATCCGCTCACAAACCCCCGAGAGTCCAAGGTAGCCGCTTATACCCCCAGCATGCAGGAGAGGAAGCACTCCCATCCGACCGGGCTTCGAGTCAGAGATCTCTACTCTTAGACTCAATCAATAGGGGGATGTTGACAGGAAGGGCCTCGATTTGGGGATCGAGCAACGCGATTTGTCTCGTAGATCCGAATCGGCCGAAGAGCTCGACTTCTGGTCGGGAACATGGCATGGCCAGGTAGTGGTTCCGCTTTGAGGCATCAATCAATGATCATGTATAAACAGCCTAGTTGCAAACATCCGATGTATATAATACGAACTCAACTTCCTCTTCTGGAGGATTGGTTGGTTTGATCCATTCTGGACTATTCTTGGCCCATTTCCTATCTATAAGTTGACAGGTCATAGCCGGGTTCTCAGCCCAAAGATGCCTGAGGCATGCCTTGCTGCCAAAACATTTTCTTAAAGCCTTTGGAATCTCCCTTGGGCGCCCCAGAGCGAACCCCCTTCAGCCCCGTTCAGTCGAGGTCATGCCCTTCAGTCGTGAGATTTGTGGCCTCAATCTGGAATTCTCGGAGGATGGCTATCGTGCCACGCGCGTGCGCGGCTGCCGGCAGTCCGTAGCGATTGGCCGCGCTCCATTGCGACTTGGTGTGGCCAATTGCGTTGGTGGGGGCTGCTGACTTTCAAGTCGTACGGGCACAGTCTACGGGAAACCCGGTGTGGTTTTTCATGGTTTTTCAATTTTCCTGCATGGCGACCCATTGTGGCGGCCAGGCCGGCTTACTGATCTTACTGCAACTGTCCTATGGTACTATATAGCCAGGCTAAGCTGTAACTGTCCTGTCGCACATAGGGAAATTCGCCCACGATGTGTGGTTCCATGTTCCTTAATGTGGGTTGGCTTGACATGTTCGTACCAACATTGCATGGGGTTGCTGTGCAGGCGATTTCATGTTGTTCTCCCACTATAGAGTCCCAATTTGTCCAATAGTTGTGTTCAATGCCACTAGCAGCCACCAAAAAGGCACTGACCTTCCATGGAATCAACCTTAAAGTGACTCGTGTTTCTTCCACTTCGATGTATTTGGTCAGGGAGCATGACCAGGAGGGTGAGGCATTGTGCCCCTCCCCCACATTTTGTGGCACGAAACCGGCACACTTTATCCCCAAGTTGCTGCCCGCCAGAAGTTTCTTCTAAGCAGCTAAGCAGAACTGTTTGCATAGGCCCGCAGTGTGCCAAGCTATGCATAGCGCTAAATACACACCCGCCTAACCCGCGGTTTTTATCCTGGCGCCTAGCCTGCCTACCCGAGCTTGTGCTGTTTTGGACCATTATGATTATTCCACTTCAAGTACATTCCTTTAACTTATCGATGTGAGTCTTGATTGACTTGCTGCTCTCTCCATCCTCCATGACCGAAGGGCGCTGCTGGGCACTGCAAGTAGTGCCCTTCTTGCTTGAATTACTGAGGGCTTGAGTTCAGGCGGTCATTTTCCTTATAAAATCATGGTTTGGGTGGAAGACACCTGGCAAAGTCACCAAACTTGCCACAAAGAGTCTGGCGTTTGGTCGATGTGCCCTTCAGTGCAACAGAAAGACAAACACCACTGTACCAGTCAGTACCAATGTTCCCAACGGTGTTTGGAAGGCTCTTTCTCAATTTTCCAGTCATTCATTGCCTCATGACCTAAAATGAGATGTCTCACCTTCGAATATCCCTTAACCTGGAACCCCAAACAACCACAAAGAACTGAATTCCCCAAACAGCAATTTCCTATGTAAAGAATTCAATTGCCATAATGGAACAACCAATTGTTTCTGGCTACACCGACCCTGTGAGGTTCCATCCCACGTCCTTTCCTTTACGCACGGCTCCCCATGTAGCCAGACCCTATCAGATTGCCCATATACAGACGTTGGTGACATTGTCAACTTGTTGGATCTTGATAAGAATATTATTTTTCCCATGATATACCTAGGACTGTCGGCAAACAGTGATCATCAATTGTCACTATTTTAGAGAAAGGCCTTTATAGGCAGAATCATCCACTGGGCCCAGCATGATTGCCCTGGTAATAAGACCTTAACAGCATATCCAATCACGAAATGCTTCCGAATTCCAAACTTCTTAGAATCCATGAGCCCCATTACGACACCCTCCTCAACCCCGACCATCGCTGCTTTCGACCCTTCCCGTCGCGCTCGCTCCCTCGCTCGGCCGCTCGGACGTGGTCGGAAGTTCTGGTGAGTTCCGGACGGACACCGGAGGCCCTTCAAGGAGTATGGGCGATATTTCGAGATCGTGGTGACCGAAACCGTGCCAGGCCCGAACGTCCCGACGTCCCGTTTTTCGAGATGGTTTTTCTTTGATGTGTGTTTCTCCCGAAAGTGGTGCTGCAGGGGGGGTTTGTGCTTGGTGCGGTGCTTTTGGTCGTTTTCGGTGGTGGCCCTTCTTTTTGGGAAAACAACCCGAGCTGCTCTGGTGGGAGACTGAATCTGGAAAGACTGAAGTGAGGGCCCTCGGACAGGTACGACTCGGTTCTCTTTTGAGATGGATGATTGGATTAAAGAAATTGAACATGCAGGATACAACACGTATCAACACGTGTTCCATGATTTTCTAGGAAGACTCAACGAAACCATCGATTACTTACAGTAGCATCACCGCCTGCAGCACTGTCCGGCTTCTGCAATTCAAATCCAGACGTCTGGGGCCTCCAAGTGGTGCACTGCGGTTCCGCTTCACAAGGGAAGCGCAGAGCGAGTGCAGTGCGACGTCGGTTTTCAGTGTCCAAGAGTTGATTTCTTCCAATCCTGAAGCCTCTTAGACCTTAATTTGGAGGTTAATTTGTTCTTAAGACGCATTTTCTACCCTCCCAGTAGGTGTCAATTGATGACAGCAGACGGATCTATTTGATGTGGTGATCTAATTGATCCATGTTTCTTGGGCACACGGATTGATTGCATTCCCAGGCGCTCCAAACAGCCCTTTGTCCCTCAAAACTCACAACCTAGGGATTTGAGGGTCTAATCCCCTCCAGAGGATTCGGGTCCAGGAGCTTCTAGGATGGTCTTCAAACCCAACCTGGAGATGTGTTGCTTTCAACCCGCCCGACGTGACTCACCTGGGTGCCCCTCCGCTGCGACCGGAGGATGGGTGGGCGGCTTGGGCATCGGCATCACACCCGATCCCAGGAGCTTGACACCTGGCACTCTGACCGACCGCATGACACCGGCGATGACCGGCCTTTTTGACAACTCATGGTTAACAACTCTTCAACCATATGACATGGAATGTACCTGGAATGACCACATAATACCATATAAAACCAATATACTGTAAAACCTCTTTGTTTGGGTGGGATGACTACTTCAGGCTTTCCACCACCATCCCAGAATGATGCTGCCGAAACGAACCGATCGAATCGTCGGACGTCCGACCGCGACTCCGTCCGATCTCCATGTCATGGGTCTCCTGTAGCAGCAAAGTGATCCACGTCGTGGGTCCTATCGTTTTTATAGAATGTGGGGAATGGAGAGGAGCCGTGGAGAAGTTGGAACACCAGTGCAACTCGAAGAACACATGGAGACATGCAGAGAAAATAGCAGTTGAGTAAAATGAGATCAAGACTGCAGCAGGAGTGATTTTGTGGGCTTTTTGGGCTGGGCCTACCCCGAAGATGTAGATGGAAAACGTGGAGGAAAAGCGAATCCAGAAGAAGAAGAAGGACCACAGGCCGTACTCCTCTTTTTAGGACTCCTCACGTTTCCCAATAGTTCCTGGCCATGTTTATGCATTCCTTATGGATCCTTATGGGGAAATCACCTGAAATCGCTCAAGTTTAACTAGCAGCTGCCAGCCAATCACCATTTTCCCTGAGCATTTTAAGACATGTGTTAAAGATTGTTGGCACAAACTCAAAGACTCCATATAATATATGGAAGACCCCTGCCATCCCCCTTTTGTATGCTGGAATCTTTGGATAGATCAGGTTTTGAAACATCTTCAATCTTTTACCTGGAGTCATGAAGTCCAATCCTTCAGATACATGGGTCCCATTGGTTCATTTCCCCGTCATGGAAACGCGCTTCACCAAGGAAGCGCTTGCCCGACAAGGCCTGGCGTATCCCCAAGACTTCGGTCCTTGGCAACTTGGCGTCGGCCCACCTCCTGAGGTTCGGTGCTTGGGGTGGGTGGGTGCCAGCGTTAGACCCAGGATCTGGGCCAGGAGCCCTAGGGAATGTAGACTCTTGATTAATAAACCGTCATAGGGCATAGGTCACAGAGGATTTTCTCTTTCAATCGGGTGGGTTTAGTATATAATTCAAAGAATCTACATTAACATTTGTGGTAATTAGAGGGCATGGATGGGCAAACGGATGGGCTGTTCTCTTTAGGCTAGGAACCATCGTCTCTCCGGGGATCACCCGACGGAACGGTGCCGGACGTTCGACGTCGTGCCTGCCGGCATCGCGCATCGCGCTGCATCGCGCACCGTCCGACGAGACACGAAACGAGGAAGAGCCCCACGGAACGGAAGTCAAAAAGGTGAGTTCGGAACCTGACCAATTGTTCTCAGGGCTCTTCTAGGTTGTCCAACTGATTCATAGTTGTTCATCTAGGTTGTCCCCATGGTCATTGTTTTCTCTTCTGTGGCTTTCTAGCGTGTTTTGGCCAGCAGGACCAACCTACCCTCCCCAAAAAAGACTTGATATGTTCGCTGCCGAAAAGGAAGTCCTCAAAAAAGAACCATATATAATATATATATATAATTGTCTTGGTGAATGTCAACGTACTCAACTGCTAGTCATTTACGGTTGGGTGCCTATGGGACCTGAGCACATTTCCTAGGGATTCCGTCAAGCGGGATTTCCTAGATGAGAAATGCGAACGAATTAGGTCAATCTAGAACCAGGTGCCTAAAATATAAGTGCACAAACTCGCGTTTCGCCTCTTAGTATCTCTTGGTAAGTTTAACCTTATTCCAGGGCTTTACAGTTCTTCGCATTGAGGCTATTGGGGCTGTGCTTTCTTGGATGGCAGCGAATTCCGCACTTCCTGGCATCCAGACACCTTGGAGACGGGAACAAAAGTGGGGTTCCTGGCCACGAGTACGGGTGATTTCGTGCTCTTCGTGGAGGGCGAAGCCATGGTGCATATCGAAAGACGGGGCGACGATCGGCGATCTGCGATCTGCGCGTGACGGGTGATTGGGAACGTCAAGTGGCACTGTGCATGGTTTGTAGGGGCCAGCCTTTGGGGTAATGATTGTTTCATATTCTGTCGCTCCTCCCTGGTAGATCAGCAAAATGATTATTATCAATATGGATTTTGAAGGTGTCTTAATTGACCAGTCTACTTCTTGGATCTATTGGAATGGTGTTCAGCTCCCTCACCTCAACCAAAACACCTCGATCTCCCGATCCACCTCACATGTTCGAAGAGCAAAGATTGATCGATTGCGACCTCAGGAGGTCGCGAAGAAAAGGTCATTGATAGTCCGAAGACCACTGGGCTAAATCCACCAGGTGAACTGATCACTTTTGGAATCTGGGCCCAGAGCTTTAAGTAATATACGCACATTATTAATATAATATTTCCGTAAGATAGTATAGGCTGAAATAGGCTGAATCACTCGTGCTTTGAAGGCAATTGGAACATCTGAACCTAATGCAGTGGATTCTCAAAGCGTTTCGATGTGCTCCTCTTTACTATTGGACATGCGGCCTTTTACACAGAAGGCGTACTTTTCAGGGCCCCCTAGCGGGGCTCCAAAGACACAACACCAGCAGCTAGCATGCAGCATGCAGCTACAAGCTAAGACCTTGGGCGGGGAGAACTCATCGCAGGAGCCATTCCTCAAGAGGATCTGACAAAGGACATGCATCCTGTGGTCGATGTCTTTGCTGCCACGCGGGCGGCCGCTTGGGCTTGGTGTGCGGGATGAGGGCTTGCTGAAGTGGAAGGAATTGTCACGAAATCCAGTTCTGCAAGGTCATTCAACGTGATTTGAATATATTTGAATGGTTTTGTAAGAAGGGTCCCCAAAAGATTGGACCTGTGGGCCTGTGGGACGCCTGGGGTGCCCCTGCTATCCAATCGGTTCGATCGGGGTCGGTGCGCTGAGCGAGGTCTCCTTATCGTCCAATTCGAGCCCTCCGCCCAAGCCATGGGCCTGTGAGAGCATCGCCCCATGCGCCGAATTTCGTAGTGACGTTCTTCACCCCAGTCAGCATCAGCACTGACTCGGGGCCGACTGTGCGCAAAAGGTTGCGAAATGCAGTTGGAGGGGCTGTCTAGGTAGTTGACTTGAGGTTCTTTAGAGGGCTCTGGCACAGGCTCCGGTGGCATTACCGGGCTTCGTCCGTGTTTCAGCGCGCATGCGACTGGAGAAACCTTGAATCCCAATCGCCCATCAACTCACCAGCACAAAGCGCCCGAAAGGGTCAGGTATTGTAGGTCACCTGTGGTTGATGGCCGGTCTGCTAGACTTCCTTTTCGAGCAATGCTTTTGTGGGGCAAGCATGATGGGCATGCGAAGTGAGTTAACGCCGGTTGCCCCTGTGTTTTTATGCGCTGTGTCAGACGGCTGCGTGGATGGTGTGTGGCGCCACGAATGACAGGGCGTCGGATGGCCCCCACGTGACCATGAGGTCGTGAGTAAACCCAAAGATGGAATGGTTCCTTGAGCAGCGGTTAGCTGCACAAGCATCGCTTAGCTGCTTAGCTTGGGCGGTCTCATCCTTGTTTGACTTTTGTTTGTCAACATGCCATTTCACCACTCGCAGTCGTCTTTCAGCGAATGGAGGTGCAGCCTTTCCAGAATGGCCGGCGCGCAGCTGGGGCTTACCTCACTGGTTGCAGCTTTGGCGCGGGATCGCCAGCAATTACCAGGCGCCAGAGCTGGAGTAGTGACCCCCAGCTCAGTGACCCTACATGCATTTGGGGATCATTTTGGGTGTATGTTGGTAAGCCTGGACGGGACGGCCAATACTTACAAGTATAATCCGGTCCACCTATTAAAAAACACAGGCCCCTGCCCCCCTATAAGGAAACCTCGGTCGCATTTTTTCTAATAGGGGGTCCCTGAAATCCGGGGGTCCAAAATAGGGTCACCTGGAAAGAGTGTCAAAACCAAAAAGTAATCCAGGAAAATTTTATATAAAATCCTTTATTAAACTCGTATCAAAAATGCAAAAAACCTCCAGATCGAAGGGTCTTCCCCCTAGAAAAACCTTCATTAGAATCTTGATTCTTCAGTAGACTAACAGCTAAAGCTTTCGAAAGGTGATGTCGCTATGCCATTGGGGGAAGGAAAGCCTGCTGGTGTAAGCGCGGCGTGTCATGGTGGATAGACAGGGCGGACAGACGTGGGCAGTTACAGTTGTTTTTGGAACCTGAAAAAAAACATCAAAAATCGGCCATGTTGGTAGTTTAGTAGCGGCTTGAAAGGGCGGCAATTTAAAAACACATATAAACCGTATTTAGGAGGATCCGACATGACTTTTTAGAAATAAGGGTACGTTTTTTAATAGGTACTCGGGATTAATTACCATGGTTGGAATGGTCTTCTTGCCTCCGCTCGTTCGAGAACTGACCCACTGACTCTGGAATCCCACAACTAGCCTTGGATCCTCGAACAAAACTGGCGTATGAAGTGGTGACAGTGGTGGTGACATACTCAATCACTCCATGTATTTATGGTTAAAATTGTGTTTATATACTGTATACAGATTCACCTAGAGAAGCAAAACACTAACAATTTGTCGAGCATTCCTCCGATTCTTCCATTTGGGTTGGTCATTTGAATAGCCTTTTTGTGAATTTGGAGGGCGACTTCACTGAAAACATAAGACACCGTATTTATCCCGTACAGAGCCCGTAATACGGAACCCGTATTTTCGACCTGCCCCAAAAAACATTAGAGAACCCATATTTCCCCAACACGAAGTCGCGGACTAGATCAGGGAGGTCTAGATCAGGG